TATAGTTTGAGCACTTCGCTTGACAAGGAAAACAATAACTCAATCGACTTACAAAACAAGTATTTCATTACACACTATGTTAACTTGTTAATAAATAAATTTGTGAGACATTCTCCTTCGGGGTACTCTTAAGTACCACAGTAAAGTCATGTAGTTATAATCAGGATCTCCTGGAGGGAGAGCGTAATAGTTGTGTATAGATCTATATTGGGTCTGACAAACCCGCACCCTAAGCTGCTTGCAACAGCTAGACCGCCAGGTCTGGGGTGACAAGTGTCATAACATTCTGACGCCTGAAGAACGTCGAGTACGAGGTCTTCGAGTTTAGTATGGTTATAACATCTCACATGAGAAATTAACTAAACACACAGTTCACGAGGATTTAAGGAGTTTTATTTAAATATAAAACCACACACACAACAAGTATGACGATTTACTTACATACACTAAATCTTGGTTCAGTTAAGACTATAACAACCCATTAGAAAATATTGGATTTTCTGGAAACAAACTTGTAACAAACAAAAAGGAACATCATTCATTTTTCATTCATAAATTGCTTATGAGCTCACCAGCTTTATGTTGATACTCTTTCAAAACAACTTGTATTCTCAGGTAATTAGTAAAACAGGTAATCACAAGATTTATGAAGTCAAGACGCTAAGGCGTAGATTCTTTTGCTATATTTTGACATCATATGTAATTTATTTGGAAACATATACTTTTGAAACGATGTAACCTTTTAAATTATATTTATGATGGTTGTGTTTACTTTCTTCACTATGGTTATGATACTGAGCATGACGTCCTCCGCCCCGGAACGTTTCTGCCGTTCTGGTTTGGGGGGTGTGACACACCCCTGCCAGTTCCTCCATTTGTTGCATTTTACTAGCTTACGCCACAAAATCATACTACATGGTCAGTTCCTCCATTCATTGCCTTCTACAACCATGCATAACCTTATAAAACCGAAGCTTCAAGCCTACACTACCTGAAAAGATTTAACGGTGGATCTGGTGGTTTGAAAATCCAATATCTAACATTGTCGCCATTGATGGAAGTGTGGGTAGTTAATTGGTGTAGTTTTGGTTGAGAATGACGGGTTGTAGGCAACGATCGGCAATTTCCGACAAGATGATGTGGCGGCGCAAGGTAGTAGAAAGCAACAAATGGAGGAACTGACCAGAGGTGTTTGGATCAGACCTCCTTAACATAGTATTGATTGTAACAGAAAATGACCGACTTAGTGGCAACCAATACTATGTTAAGTCGGTCATTTTCTATTACAACCAATAATGTGTTAACCACCAGGAGGTCCGATCCAAACACCCCTGGTCAGTTCCTCAATTCGTTCCTTTCTACCACCTTGCGCCGCCACATCATCTTGTCTGAAATCGTCAATCGTTGCCTACAATCCGTCATTCTCAATCAAAACTACACCAATTGACTACCCACACTGCTATCAATGGCGATAATGTTAGATATAGGGTTTTCAAACCACCAGATCCCCCGCTAGATATTTTCAGGTAGTGCAGGCTTGAAGCTTCGATGTTATAACGTTGTGCATGGGTTGTGGAAGGCAATGAATGGAGGAACTGTGTAACATCCCGAGATTTTCAGGTATTTTCGAATCCTCTATTTTATTATTATTTTGTCATTTGTAGTCCCTAGGGTTGGAAGAGTCGAGCCATGAGAAAACTAAGGGCTAAAGTTGCAACTTTGAGATCAAGAAGAGTACGCTAAGCGTACATAAAGTACGCTGAGCGTACTAGGCGCACCCTAGTACGCTGGGCATACACTTGTGTACGTTTGGCGAACTCACGACATATGGAAACCCTAATATTTAGGGTTGGGGTGTTATATAAACGTCCTTATGAGCTCAAAACCCTCCATCACCTCAACCTCCATAGCTTTGAGCCATTTTCCCCAAACCCTAACCCCTTTCTTAAGTGTGTGAGCTAAAAGTGTGTGTTTTGAGTAGTTGGAGAAGAAGGTATTGCATCAAGAAGTTGGAGAAGGAAGACAAGCTTGTAGATATGAGGTTACTTTGTGCTCTAGAAGCTCCAGGAGGTAAAAAAAGCTCCAACCTTTATGCGGGTTATGAAGTAGATCTTGCCATATTAGCTTTATGAAACCATTTCTTGTCCCAAAAGTCCCAAGTTGGTGCATGTTATGATTTGAACGAAATAAGTTGTCCTTTCAGGCCCTAGAAAGGGTCCTAAGTGATAAAAATGATGTCCCAATGGCTTAAAGTGTCCCATGTTATGCTAGTGATCTGTTAGATCTGTATCCTGGTTATAGGATGATGCTATGTTAGTGATATGTTAGATCGGTATCCTCGTATATAGGATGATGATATGATTAGTGATCTGTTAAATCTATATGACTATCTGTACATGCTAGCAAGCGTATGATATTGATGTGTTGATTGGTTGATTGGGAGTTGGGTTGTGGCGGTCCTGCTTTGTGCTCTAGGCCAACATACCCAGGGCGGCCCGGATAGACTGCAGACCCGGTAAGGGCGCACTAGTCAGGCCGAAGGCCCGGCGAGGGGTCCGGATAGGCTGTAGGCCCTGCGAGGCGGTCCAGACGTGTCGATGGCTCGGGAGCTCCAGATAGGCTGTAGGCCCTGCGAGGCGGTCCAGTCAGGCTGATGGCTCAGTATGCATGTTGTTTGTATGATATTGTTATGGTTTGTATGACGTTGGTATTTTGGGGGAACTCACTAAGCTTCGGGCTTACAGTTGTTGACTTTGTTTCAGGTACTTCAGATGATCGCGGGAAGACGAAGGCGTGATAGTGCACCTCCTCATATTTTTATGATTTGATTTCTGGGATACTCTAACATGAAACTATTTTGAAAACAATTTGTAATAACTATTGGTTTTTGAATGTTTTAAAAAGTTTTAAATTAGCATGATTTTTATGGATGTTACAACTGACCAGGTAGTATGATTTTGTGACGTAAGCTGGTAAAAGGCAACAAATGGAAGAACTGACAGGGTGTTTGGGTTGGACTTCTTGGTGGTTCAAATAGTGATGGTTCTAGCGGAAAACGATCAGCTTAGTGGCAAATATAAAGGATTCTGACGGATTGTAAGAGGTTGTCGCAGGCGGGTACTGGATAGCGGCGTTAGGTGAAACAGGTTGGTAGTGTTTCCGTTGGACCTCCGATGAAGGTAATTAGCGGTGGTCCCGACGATTTTCGACAATGAGATGCGGTGCTTTTGCGTATTCCGAATACTTTGTGGTAGAACCAATAAATTAAAAAGAATTAATATTATACATTTAAAAAAATTAATGATCCACTAAAATATTATTTATTATATATAGAATATAATAAATTAAATGTAATAATCCAATAAAAAAACCTAATAATTTTTTTTTTAAAATAATCCAATAAAAAAATTTAAAAAACAGTTAAAAGAAATTAATAATATAATAATATAATATTTATTAATATATAAATATTGTATATTAAAAATAAAATTAACTGCTATATAATAATCAGATAAAAAAACTAATCCAATAAAAAAATTAAAAAAAGAATTAATGTATAATAGTTCAATAAAATTAAAAAGAAAAAAAATCAATATATAATAATTTAATAAATTTAAAAAGAAGAATTGTAGAAGTGGTCCTTGTAATTTGGTAAAAAAAAGCTAACTGTAAATATAGCCCCTGAGGGTAAAATTATTATTTTAAAAAAGTTAACAATCAAATGTTAAAGTTAACCAAATAGGGACCTAAACTACAGCTAAACTTTTTTTTGCTAATAAATTTTTGGGTAAATTACACGGATGGTCCCTATGGTTTGGGGAAACTTGCACGCTTAGTCTCTGAGCAAAATTTTTAACTCGGACGATCCCTAATATTAAAATTTGTAACCCGCCTGGTCCCTGCAACATCTGAAATGACTGTATTGCCCTTATTTATTTATTTTCTTTTATTTTTCTGATTTATTATTATATAAAATAAATATAAAATTAAAATAAAAAGCCATCTCTGCTAGAGAAAATCTAGAAAAAAGCCTAAAGAAATCAATTCAAAACCCTAGAAATCCCCAAATAAAACACAAATCCCCCGCCACTATGCCACTATCTGTAATTCTACTTCATCCCCTACCATAAATATGAAGAACGCCACGTACCACCATCACAGGGTCGACCGTGAACGTAAGGAAGTAAGAAGAATCGATTTGTGAAATCCGTTTGGATATAAGAATATCGATTGAAGGCGGAGGTGAAGGACCGAGTGAAACGGAAACCATCCTAAAAAACACATGAATGCTTCGAATTGTTTAGCTTTAAAACGCTTGTGGCTTTTGATTTGGTTTCGAAAAACACAGGTGAATTTTGATTTGGTGTTGCTTTTGTCTTTAAATGTTTTGCTTCTTTTAATGTTCGGGTTTGATGTGGACTAGTCTCAATTTCACTATTGGTAGAGGATTTGAGTTCAAAATTTCATCAGAATCTTGTTGGGATATGTAGGGAAGAAGTTGAAGGACTTCAGATGGTGGAGGATAGATCGAGATCTGAGGATTTGGGTTGATTCCAGTCATATGGTGGTGCTAAGGGATTTCCACACCTCTATTTATCGATTTATTTCTCAGAAAAATCAATGGCAGTCATCGACAGGAACTGGGATTTATATGGTAGCAATAGTGTCGATCGAACTTAGAGAAAGAGATGTAGAAGAAGGAAACATAAGGTTAGAAAAACGTGGAGTTTGGGATATAGTGGGGTGGGTTTTGGGGTTTTTTATTTTTTACAATATAAATAATTAATAAAATGTTTTTTTTTTAAATACAAGGGTAATACAGTCATTTCAGATGTAGCAGGGACCAGGCGGGTTACAATCTTTAATACTAGGGATCGTCCGAGTTAAAAATCTTGCTTAGGGACTAAGCGTGCAAGTTTATACAAACCACAGGGACCATACGTGTAATTTACCCTAAACTTTTTTTGATATGACCTTACCAAAAAAATTGGAAGATATGACGTACCACGTTGCTGATGCGAAGAAATAGAATGCTGAAAGAACAAAGTGAGAATTGACAATCAGTGCCATTTCAAGTCGTTAAACCCTCATTATAAAGCCCTAACCAACGGAACATACAGCAATGGCTTCTAAGGTACATTCAGGGAGTGGAACCGCTATTGAAACCCCCATAACCGTGATAGATGACGAGATTCGCGCCACTGACGCCGTAGAAACCGAGCGGGCGGTGGAAGCGGCGAAGGAGAAGGAGGTTGAGCATCACCCCACGGTATAATTTCTTTTGTAAATCTAACGATTATTATTTATTCATATATGCATATAGGATATTAGGATGTTTCCTTTAATATGACACAATTTTCTATGCTGTCTTTACAACAACAAAACCTAAATCCAATAGGAATGGGGTTAGGGAGAGGTTAGATGCAGACAATTTTACCTCCACCCAAAGGTAGATAGACTGCTTCTATAGATAAAATTAGAATCTTATTATCATTATTATTATCTGTCACAACTTAGTGATCATTGATAAAATTCAGGGGTTAATGTGGGAAATAGCGACATACTTGCAGTTATTTGTGTATTATAGCTGAAAAATATAGACTTTTGGGAAAGAAATCTCTTCTCTTTAAGAATAGTCCTCATTATATATTAAACATATTAGCAGCCTAAAATTACGGATTCTTAGCGTATAAAACATTTTTTAATATAGGAAAACTAAATATCTACGACTAATGACAATAAGAGCATATCATATTATGCTTATTTCATTTTCTGTATATTGTTTGTGGAGACTGATTTGCAGCATTCTGATAAGGACATTATATTTTGAAAAATCTTAGCAAATTGGAACAGTGAAAATTGCTTTGTACTTGGATGACAATGCTATTATTGGGTTGATTTTCAAAGTACAATGTTGTAATAAAAAGAAATGAAAGCGGGACACTATAATAAAGTGTTAAAAATGCAAGAATTTAGAAATAACATCATACTTGCATTACTTTGTTTACTATAGCAGCTAGTTTCATTTTTTTCCTATTACAACATTGTACTTTGAACAATCTACCCATTTATACCAGTGTCATCTAAATACAAAGAATTTTTACTGTTCCAATTTGGTAAGATTTTTCAAGGTACAATATCATGATAAGAAAATGTTGGAAGTACAACGATGTAATGGAAAGAAATGAAAGTATAATGCCATAATAAACAAATAAATGGAAGTAAGTTACTATGTTTTCATTTAGCCTATACTAAACAAATTAGTTGAATTACATTGCTATTTCTTGCATTCACTCTCCCTTTGTCTGCAAGATTTTCTCTGTTTATTTTTATCCATTTTTCTATTGGTTTCAATTACTTTTTATTTCCACATTGTTTTTTTTTTTTTTCTGGCAGATGAAGTATCAACATTATCTGCCAACTCAGATGATAGAATTGTCGAGTTAAAGGGAGAAGCTCTCAAGGTTCGGCAAGCTTTAGAAGCTGTTCATAGACACCTGCACATGTTTTCGGTTGATCATAGCATTCCTCCTCTCTTTGATTCGAACACGGTTGAGGTGGCAATGCAGATGGCAGCTGAGGAACCAGTCATATGGACCGGGTCGAGTCGGGCTATTTCCGGACTGGGCCGTGCTTTTTACAGGCCAGACCGGGATTTTTTCGGACCGGCGCTCATGCCAACCTTTTACCCCATGTACTTACCGCCCCCTCCTCATCATTGTCACAGACGCTGTCGCTGTCGACGGCGGCCAATTTTGCCGCCACCATCAGGTAACCATTTGTTTATTTTTGGAATATATATATATATATATATATATTTTTTTTTTCCATTTCTCATCTCTATTTCTGGCTTCCATCTCCATTGCTCATCATTAGTAATTTTGTACATGATTTGTTTTGTTTATATTCATGGTTATTATTATTATTATTTTTTTGTGTAGGTATGGAAAGTATCAAGGAACCAAAACGAACTAGGTATCTTTGGAAGGATGACATAGTTAAAACGTTTCTTGATGCATGTATTCACGAGATCACCATCAACAGCCGAGAAGGTGGTAGTTTAAAAGCAATGTCATGGAAGAAAGTCGGGGAGATGCTTAAAGCTAAACATAACTTTCCTGTTGATAGTAAACAAATGAAAAACTATTTTGATGGCCTCAAGACCAAGTACAGAGCATGGGTATCACTAAAAAACAAAACCGGCAACAAATATGATCAATCCACCAACATGTTTAATTTGACGGACAAAGAATGGGAGACTGAAATCAAGGTACAAATCATATCCTTTTGCTAAAGTTTTTTTTTTTTTTTTTTTTGGTTATGAATTTGTTAAAGTATTTCATACAGAAAAATAAATGCATAGAAGAATTGAGAGATTCCCCCCTACGGTTTCCGGATCTTTGTGCACAACTTTTTGACGGTGGTGTTGACCAGGCTTTGACCGAACCGGGACTGAGCCTCCCTACATTGTCGCCGTCCCACGTCACTACCAGCTTATTAGGTAATGGTTTGTGTCTAATGTTCTCTTTTGAAAGGATTTGTGTATAATTTTGAAAAAGATTTTGTCCCAATCAGTTTCTGCAGAATATATATAACATTTTTTTCTTTTTTGTGGAAGAAAATTATATTGTTTTTTCATGTTCAGGTGAAGCATCCCTTGAACCTCAAGCGGCAGATGCTCTCGTTCCACCATCTACCCAAACACTACCGCCATTACCCGCTACTGAAACACCAGCGGAACCACAAAAAGAACCAATGGTTGAAGTACCACCAGAAATGCCTCAAGTACAACCTGCAAGTGAAGCTGTGGCAATAGCGACAAAAAGGAGGATGTCGGTTTTTGAAGAAGAAATATTGGGTGTCTTGAAGATGATAGCTGATAACATTAACAACAAACCAGAACCACCTCCAAAACCGACATTTGAAGATTGTGAAAAGAAGTTGAATGAGCTTGGGTGGCCCAAAGATGATCCGCTACACCTAATTGCACTCACGATTTTTTGTGACGAAGAGGATAACTATAGGGAATTGTGGATGAAATTGAACCCGAATTTGTGTGTTGATTGGGTTAGAATGATTGGACGTAGTAAAAGATTCACTTAGTTGTTTGATGAGTTAGTTTATGTTATGGTTTTTTGTTGGGATTAGTATATATGTGAATATGAATTAATATTGTCATATCGTTCACTAATGCAGTAATGCTATGTTTATATTCTCGTATGTGAAACATCACTGCCCTCAGCCGCTACTGAAGCACTAGTGGAACCAAAGAAAGAGCCGATAATGTGTAACTCTCTGATTGAAGTTGAAGTATTACCAGAACGAATTAAGGGTAAATGGGGAAACCCAAACGTAGTCAAAACGTTTCTTGGTGCTTGTATTCACGAGGTCACCATCAATGGCTGGAATGGTCGTGGTTTAAAAGACATGTCATGGAAGAAAATTGGGGAAATACTTAAAGCTGCCCATAACTTCTCTGTTAATAGTAACCAAATGCAAAACTATTTTAATCTCCTCAAGGGAAAGTACGGAGCATGGGTATCACTAAAAAACAAGACTGGCAACAAATATGATCCGTCCACCAATATGTTTAATTTGACGGACAAGGAATGGGAGACTGTAATCAAGGTATACATTTGCTAAAGTAATATTTTTTTTTTGTTTTGCTTTTAGTTTCTAATCTGTTGATCTATTTCACACAGGAAATAAGAATGACAGGAAAATTGAGGAATGCCCCCCTATGGTTTCCGGATCTTTGTGCTCAACTTTTTGATATACCAGAGCCCAAGATCCAAAAGGAGGCCATGTATTTGGTATCTCCTTCATCATCTTATGATCCCGTTCAAAACAAACAAAAAATCGGTAAACATTCAATGTTTTATTCAATGCTTTTACACGATTATGTTCTAATCATTTTCTACACTGTATATAATAACCATTTGATTTGTTTTTCATGTGTGATTGATCTTTCAGGTGAAGTAACCCATGAACCTCAACTAGCAGTACCTCTTATCCCGCCAGCAGCCGAAACATCATCTCCCTTGGCTGCTACAGTGGAGCAACAGACAGAACCGATGGTTGAAGTACCACCAGAATTGCCTCAAATACATCCTGCAATAGAGACTAAACCTGAGGTACCAACAGAATTGCCAGATGTACAAACTGCAACTGCACGTGAGGCGACAACGCAGATGGAGGTTGAGGAATACGTAGTACGGACCGGACCGGACCCAGCTTTCTCCAGACCGGACCTGCTTTTCACAGACCGGACCAAGCTTTTTACAGTATCAAAGAACCGAAACGAAGTAGGGTTAGTTGGGAAAACATTAATGTAGTTAAAACCATTCTTGATGCATGTATTCACGAGATTGCCATCAATGGCCGGGAAGATGGAAGTTTAAAAGCAATGTCATGGATGAAAGTCGAGGAGACACTTACACCCCGCTCCCAAGTTCAACTTAAGGAGAGAAAAGAAAGGAAATGGGTGGAAATGAGAGGAAAGTAAGAGAGATTGATGCTCCCGAGTTTCATTAAAGGAAGGAAGTGGAAGGAAATGGAAGGATCACTTTCCCTCCTAACTTTCCTTCCGATTTGGGAGGATTTGAAAAAAAGAAAGAATAAAATGTTTAACTTTCCTTCCATTTCTCTCCAACTCAGGAGCACAAAAGACAAATTTGTTTTCCTTTCTTTTCTCTCCTTATTTTCTTTTCTCCTCTCTTCTTTTCTTTGCTTCAACTCGGGAGCGGAGTGTTAAAGATAGACATAACTTTTCTGTTGATACTAAACAAATGAAAACCTATTTTGATGACCTCCGGAGCAAGTACAAAGCATGGGTATCACTAAAAAACAAGACCGGCAACAAATATGATCCGCCCACCAACACGTTTAATTTGACGGACAAGGAATGGGAGACTGAAATCAAGGTACATTTCATATCCTTTTGCTAAAGTAATTTTTTTGTTGTTGTTTCGGTTATGAATTTGTTAAATTATTTCATACAGAAAAATAAATGCATAGAAGAATTGAGGAAGGTGCCCCTACCTTTTCCAGATCTTTGTGCACAACTTTTTGACGGCTCTATATCCACAGGCTTTTTTCAAATTGGCATTGACCTGTGACTGGACCAGAACCGGGTAACAATTTGTTTTTCTTATTTGAAAGGATTTGTGTTGATTTCTCATATTTATTTGTGCTTTCAACATACATTGCTCTTGAAAATATAGAATGGGACCTAACTCACATAGTAAGTATAATTTCGCAGTAAGACAACTGAAGTATGAAATTTAAAGTAAATTACATAAGTCGTTCCTGTATTTTAGGGCAAATTGCGTACTTCGTCCCTATCTTTTTTTTTCACTAGGAGGTGCATGTGGTAACCCTTTAGCGGTTTTCGTCTATACCATACATAAATTGACCGATTTACCCTTACTAACTTTTTTATATTTTATATTTTTACCTTAATATCATACTATCTTAATATCATACTATATAGAACAAATTATTGAAATCGTCCCTGTGATTTGCCAAAATTTCACATTTGGTCCCTATCTTTTCTTTTGCACTCAGACAGTCCCCATGTTTTGATTTTGTTACAGTGTAAATCCCTGCCTAATAGAAAATGTGACTAATGCCCTTAATATATATATATATATATATATATATATATATATATATATATATATATATATATATATATATTTTTTTTTTTTTCCAATTTAAAAAAATGAAAAAAGAAAAAGAAAAACCCCCACCCACAACCTTCATCTTCCGCCTCTCTCTCCTCTCGTTCTCACCTTCCCACAGGTACGATGGTTTTCATCGTCATCAGCCTCAAACATTTCAATCGTCTGCCACCGTCATCGTCGAGCAAAGATCTCCCGCCACCACTGACAAACAATCGCAACCATGGGTTGCCACTATCGATTTGGGTTTCTCCAGATTCCAATTGTTTGATGTATGCATCCTCATCGAAAGTTGCAGGATTGGATTTAGGTTTCTTTATATACCAATTGTATCTGCTCATCTCTCTATCTGTAAGGGCTGGATTTTATCCTCATTCATGTTTCTGGATTTCGATCTTAAACGAGGTTCTTGTCCTCAAATTTTGCAATTTGGTTGTTGGGGAAGCCCGATTGAACCAGTTTTGCATCTGGGTTGTATTTGGGTTTTTTGCTTTTGGGGTTATAACTAGTTTTTTATTTTTATTTATTTTTTTATTTTTTTAATAGAGGTTTAATTTAAGCTTCAAGGAAGAGCAGGGTTTTAGCAAGTTCCATTCCCACATATCCATGAAGATGCAATGGTGGTTTCCGGATGTTTTTTGAAGTCGCCGGAAAGATATCAAGATGGAAGAAGAAGGGCAAGGGGGATGGGGAAGAGGGAAGGCAGATGGGGTGGTAGTAGGGGCCAGGTTTCTCACAGTGACTAGTAGAGTTTGGCGATGATTTATGGTGGGCGGTGGCTGATGGTGGCCGGCGACCGGTGGCCGGAGTGGGAGCTAAAGTGGGAGTGCAAGTGGGTTCCACTTGTCAATAGATCAATTAATTAAATTTTAATTAAAAAAATAAAAAAACCAAAAAAGAAAATATTAAGGGTATTATAGTCATTCCTTATTAGACAGGGACTTACACCGTAACAAAATCAAAACCTAGGGACTGTCCGAGTTCAAAACAAAAGATAGGGACCAAACGCAAAATTTTTGCAAACCACGGGGACCATTACAGTAATTTGTTCTACTATATATATATATATATATATATATATATATATATATATATATATATTAAAACCAAATGACTTTGTGAATAGTATCCTTTTGAGGTTTTAGACTTTGGCCACAAAATTTTCTTATTTTAAACTTTGGCCACATAACTTTTCTGGTTAACATTATTTATACACATTATTTATACAATGAGAGGCCTACAAACCCACTCACCCTTGATCTTCACAAACTTAAAAACCAAGTCTAACCGTTTAAATTGAAAGCGACATCCAAAGAATTTAAAAAACTTGCAGCATCCACATCCCACATCCAAAATGGAATTATATTGTTTTTCATGAGTGATATTTCAGGTGAAATAAACGATGAACCTCAAGCAACGGTACCTCTTGTTCCGCCATCATCTGAAAAGTCACCGCCCTCAGCCGCTACTGAACCACTAGTGGAACCAAAGAAAGAGTCGATAATGTGTAACTCTCTGGTTGAAGTACAACCTACAAGTGAACTCGTGGCAATAGAGACTAAAAGGACGATGTCCATTTTTGAAGAAGAAATGTTAGGTGTCTTGAAGACGATAGCTGAAAAGTTGAACAAACCAGAACCACCTACAAAACCGACATTTGAAGATTGTGAAAAGAAGTTGAACGAGCTCGGGTGGCCCAAAGATGATCCGTTACACCTAGTTGCACTCACAATTTTTTGTGACGAGAACGTTAACTATAGGGAATTGTGGATGAAATTAGACCCGAATTTGTGTACTGATTGGGTCAGAATGGGCGTAGTAAAAGATTCACTTAATTGTCTGATGAATTAGTTCATGTATAAATGTGAATATGAATCAATATAGTTTTATATTGTGGTTTATATATTGTTCGCTAATGGTATCTTTATATTCTCATTCCTAATATATATTGTATGTTTGTATTTTTATAAATCTTTGTTCAAAGTTCTAATTTATAAGAACAATGAAATAATTCAGATTCTTGTCTTATACATTATTTAATATTATTTAATCATTTAATATGTAAATTATTTATAAATATTATTGGCACCGGTCATACATAACCATTTTCGAAGCAATTGTGATTTGTGTATCATATCAACTTTCAATTAAAACCATATTTATATAATCAAAATGCCATGTAATCGGCACCTCCGATTGTCCTCTCGCTCTCGTCAAGAGATTAGTTGTCAAGTTGAGCAAGAGTCGGGCATTGAGTTTTCTAACTGAAAACTTTAACTTCTCATTCTCGGTAAGCATTTGACATTTGGGTGGCCATCATGGCCATCCAATTCGTCGGAAATGCTACAAGCAAATTCTAGTCAACGCCCTTTTTGGTATCATCACAAGGAAACACAAAATGAAAAAGATAACATCGACGCTAAGATACATGATTGACTTTTGATGTCTACTCACTACCGGACTAACTTTGGACCTTAAAATAGAAAACCGGTTATTCCATTTTCAATATTATTTGGTAAATATGGTGCACTCCAAAGAAGTGGCCCCAACCGAGGCCCAAAAGATGTGAAGCCCAATCAGACTGAGTACGCGGGGCGTACTCATCTGTATGCTAAGCGTACTCGCTGTATGACTTGTACGTTGCGCGTACTGACTTGTACGCCCAGCGTACTCCTCCATTAAGCCAAGTTTTCCATTAAGCTCTTAATGCTTAAGTCAAATGGTCCAAAACACAGATCTGAGTCCCAAATAGTATCTAGAACCATAAAGTCACTGACTTGGTGACTTTGCATGTCCCAAAAGATCCCAACTTCGATTTATAACATTCTACTTTCATAATAATGGCCATAACTCATGCATTGATTGGTTCTAAGCATCAAAGATGGCAACTTTATGAGTCTAGGACCAAAGGAACACCAAGAGTGGCAACTCTAAGCTTCAGAAGTGATATTAAACGACAAGATCTCATTTATGAGACCAAAAAGGGTCCAAAACCCAAACAAAGGAGATCTAAGCTTCTAAAGAGCAAGATTAAAACTTTATACCTCAAACAAGCCAGAAATGGAGCAGATCATCCGGATCTATAAGCTCCTCCTTGAACTACCACCTTGCTCCAACCTTCTCCTTCTTGAAAATGGGACAAAACACACCAAAATTGACACTATAAGCTCAAAATGTAAGAGAGAGGCTTAGGGTTTCGAATATGATGCCTAAGGGTCTGAGGAGGCTGAGAAATGAGGGTTTCAAAAGCCATAAGGATGCTTATATAGTGACCACACTTGAAAATTAGGGTTTTCATTAAACCTTGCGTACGCCCCGCGTACGCATCCGGAACCCCGACCAAGCCTTCGCATGAGTACGCTAAGCGTACCACTTGGTACGCCCCGTGTACTCGCTTTACAGCTTGTACGCTAAGTGTACCTTCTGGTACGCCCCGCGTACAACATAAGGACCAAATTACAAATTAATAAATACACAAGGACCATAAATAACATACCAGGAATTCAAGTGTTGCAAGAAGAGTGGCTTGGGAGTGTAGTTATGCTTTTTTCAAACATACCTCTATTGTTAGCAGCTTTCAGTCTGTAATGTTTAAAATTATTTTTTTTACATATAACATTATGTCTTGGTTTTAATTACAAAACAATATAAAAAAAGTTTTAAAAAAAGAAACTAACTATTTCTTGAACTCATTAATTTCGACAGTGTCGTCATTAATGAACAATTTGGTTACATCAAAATAACTTTGGGCTTGATCTATTCCTGTAAAAAGAAATTAGTCAACAAAAGTAAATTTATATATATATATATATATATATATATATATATATATATATATATATATATATATATATAATATAAGCTTAAGTTATTTTGTTTTTACTAACTATTGTGTGTCAGAATGCACAGATCTGGACCACCAGATGAATAGAATCAACAATCATGATCTGAGGGTCTATTATATTACAATAGGGTAGCATGTATCATATAATCACACAAATTTCAGCAAAATGGTATTTTGGTCAATTAACCTATTTTAAAAAAGAAAATCTTTGGATTTTAAGGGATCACTAATTCCCTCATTTTTTAAAAATCTTAATTTTTTAAATTAATTCTAATTAAATTTTAATATTACTTTTAATAATAACCGATTTTATTATGTGAGAATGACAAAAAAGTCAACAATAAACTAGTAAATATATATGCGGTTTTATTCTTGCAGAATATTGTTTCATTCAAGATACTTTTTATATTAAACATGCTTAAAGAATTATACAACATATTATCAAGAATAATATTTTCTAAAGAATACAGATTTTATTTTTTAAGAATCACTATTTACATTCATCAGTAAAGAAAAAGACTATAAACAATTATTACAATCATTCTAAATAAATTATGACTAATAATGGTTTGAGAATTACATTTATTCTCAAAGATTAAAACTAAAAATGGTTAAAAAAGAAAAAAAAAACATCAAAATCTAACAAAAACACTACTCTATTCCGAAAGAATATTATTGTTAAGAAACAATTTCTAAATTCTGACAGAATGCATTCTGTTAGAATACAATATCATTCTCCATGTTTTCTTCATTTTCCACATTAATGGCAACCTCTTCAAAACCTAATTTCACAAGGAAAACATAATCAACTTTCAAATATTAAAATTTTTAGTGCATTAAATAGAATAAAACAATAAATTCTAATAGAATGTGATATACATTCAAATATAATATAACTACAACTTCTACAAACCAACATTAACAATCATCCATAAACTTGCAATGTATATTATTCTAAAAGAATGTAATGTTTCATTATTTAGGATGTCATTATATAAGAATCAAGACCAATAACAAGAATAGAAACAAATTTTATTCTGACAGAATTAGTTACGGTAATTCACTGCTTAAGGTGACAAGGAATTCAAGATTCTATTTTGACAAAAAATTAGAATTCGATATTCCATTCTAGCAGAATGATCGACATTAAGATGCATTAAAAAAACCTAACAATCTAAATAGAAATAAGACTATGAAATTGAAATAGCAGGATACATAGAATGCATAAACATATACACTTATCTGTTGGTTGAAAAACTGATGATTGTGTTCCAAAATCAAAATCAATAAGCAATTGGATTAAAATCTATTTTCAGGATTTGAGGTAAATAAGTTCTACAGTTAAGCACAACTTACTACATCACATAAACAATCTTTTGTTTTCCAGTTACAAATACCTAGATTTCAACTATGCATTTTATCGAACACGTGGTGTGCCTCTTCGGTTTCTTCAAAAAAAATTAGTGAGAGTCTTACCAATACAGTTTCTTGGTGGTCGGGAACTGGAGATACGGAATACGACTTCTACGACTTCGGGTCTTCAACAGTGGTAAGGTAATTTGATAAGGACCTTTTGAATACTCCAACCAACATTAATGGGAAAAGAGCGAAAGAGTAGAAGAGATGGCAATGAGTTAAGGGTACTGAATGGAAGATGACGAGGGTATACAGTTAGTGATGTACGACTGAAGCCCTTTAAACAAAGTGTTTGGATAGAATTCAGGGTTTTGAATTCCATGCCTTTTTTTTTAACAAATATCAAAAATTAAAATCGTCTTACCTGGTAAAACTTTAGAAACGGGATCTGGAACGAAGCTTCATCATGAACAAATTCGAGAGGGTGGGGGAGGCAAGAAAACAAGAGACGATGTAAGAAAATAGAGAGCGTTACCTGAGTCGGCATCGGCGGTGATAGATGCAACATGAAGAATTTGTTTCCTATTTTTTTTAGGTCAAACCTAATTATTTTGTTTCCTTAATTAAAGGGATTTAATTAAATAATTCTACTAATTGAATGTGTAAAAAGCCCAAAAATACCCTTATTCATTTAATAAATTATTTAATTATTTGTTAAATTGTGATTGATGCATTTAGGCACACAATATTTGCTAGAAACATTTAAACCTATAGGTTCAAATGTTTCTAACAACTATTGTGTGCATGAATGCACCAATAGGAATTTAGGAATAATTAAATAATAAAAAAATTGTAATAAGGGTAATTATGTAACTTTAGCATGATAATTAAAATAAAATCCCTTAATTTATGAAAATTACCATAAAAAACTATTTGACTAAATATTTAACCCTAGCCTCTTCTGCCGCCATAGACATCATCTTCAACTTCGATCACACAAAAATCTCGACACCAGGTAAGTTTGAGGCGGCCATTCGAGCAACCAAACCAGAAACTTCTAGCTCCTCAAATTGAACTCATCGTCGCCTCCCCTGTAACAAAAAAAAGAACTCCTTATTCTACCCAATTTGAGAATTTACCGATATTGCCCTTTAACCTAATAAAACCTTACTCATTATACGATTATGCTCCTCAAATTGAACTCGCCGTCGCCTCCCTTGTGAAGCCACCGGCCGGAGACCAGCCACAACTCCGTCGCACCTAACCCCAAGTTCCATTTTTCTTCCTTTTTTTCTGCTTTCTTTGAACTTGCAAATAGATGTTTTTGGTCGATTTCTTTTTATCCAAAAGGTTTTCTTTTCCTGTAATTTTCTTTCTGTCACATACGAAATTTCTTCTTGCATTTTTTTAAAAAAAATATCAATCGGCAAGTTCAAGTTCTTCTCTGGAATTCTTTAGGTGATTTCTTACTTTCGGAGTAATTGATTTGCTACTTGTTTGCTGCTACTGGTTTGCCAATTGTGTTTGATGTTAATATGTATGAAGTCTGATGTGTACATAAAAAAGGAATGTGTGTTCAGGCAAGCTGTTTGATGAAATGCCTGAGAGGGATAGTACTTTATTAATATGCATGTTTTCACATATCAATTATAATATACATGTTTTAATGTTTAACTTTTGAATTTTGATGTTGGTAACTTGGGAATGAACAATAGATGCTACTGATTTCCTCCTATTGTTTTTGAATGATGTTCTGAAGATGCTTATATTTCCTCCTACAACCAACTGAAAGTTGTTTATACTTTATAACATTGACAGTTTCCCTTTCTTGTTTTCTGAATAAAGGTTATGTGTTATTGGATTAGCTTGTGGTCATGTGACCTTTAAGGATGAAGGAGGAGTCACTTATGTGGATTTCAATGTTGGAAAATCCAACAGAAGTGAGATCAAGGTCACAGGGAAGCGCAAAAGGGTACATCCATCATTCAACCTTTTCTTAATCCTTTTTTCTAGATAAGATTTTTCTTAAATCTACTATTCTGGTTTCTTTTTTGCAGAATGCACAACATTTCGAGTCCAATATAGCCTTATGTAAAGTATGCACCAACAATGGGTTCTTTTGTTCGTTGGGTATATTCTTGATAATACAAATTCTTTAAGAATATTCAAAACCATTATGCAAAAATAGTTTATTATGTAAGAATATTATTGTTGTATTCTGATAGAATTGTAGTTAATTAGTTATATGTTTAATGTGCAGTTGTTACAAGTGTATCACTACAAAATATTTGGCAATGAATTTGTGATAGAAATGGCTTGAAGACCTGATGGGAAAGGCTCCTTGTATAAAATCATTCTCATGCAATACAATTCTGACAGAATGTCAATCTCACAAAATGTCAATCTCATATAATGCTAGCATATTTTGAAGTGGCTTAGAGGTCAAACATACACAAGACATCTAGAAACGAAACAAGAAAGTGAATGAGGATTCTTTCAAGAATGCCGATATTTTTTTTGCAAGAGATTTCAAGAATGAATGTAGTTTATGTTCATAGTTGTATTCTTTAAGAATAAATGTAATTACTTATCCTAAACTATTAAACTTCGTCTTATATAAAATTTGTATTCATTAAAAATTATTGGTCTTGATAATATGTGTTTATAATATTATGTTCATAGTTGTATACCATTTTGACAGAATTACAGAATATCATTCTAACAAAATAACATTCTGATAGAATAAAATCGGTTTATGTTTACAAATTACGTTTGAAATTGAATTAATTTGAAAAAAAAATCAGATTTTTTAAATCAAAATCATTAATTAACCCATAAATCTTGATTTTTCCTTTTTTAAATTTGTCTCAATTGACTAAAATGCCCTTATGCTGAAATTTGTGTGATTATATGGTACATGTTACCCTATTGCACTATCATAGACCCTCAGATCATGACCTTTGATTCTATTTCATCCGATGGTCCAGATCTGTGCATTCTTGCACACAATAGTTAGTAGAAACAAAATAACATAAGCATATATATATATATATATATATATATATATATATATATATCGTGACTACAAAGCATCCCAAATGTTAAGTTTAACAAACCGCATCACTATAACAACACATGTAACCGTAGGGTTAGTTTTGAGGTACTGTGACACGTGGTATGCTTGAGTTCCAAATATAGTGACCTTCAGGTGTACCGACCTAAATAAAAAATAAAATAATTAGTACAAAAAGTTGATTAATAATAATAAAGAAATAGAAGAAAAATAATCTCACTGTAAGTTGCTTATAGTCATCTTTATGTAATGCTTGGACGGGTTAGGATATGATGTTTCAAGTGCACGAAATGAGACAATTTGTCCAATAACATCTACACAAGTTTAATAAAAAAAATAAGTAAGATTAAGTTAAATACTAACATGTATAATAAATTACACAAGTTATAAAAGTGATTGGAATAAAATTAAATAACTAACCAAAGAATGAGTCTCTTGGGCATGTTTGCTCGATAATAGAATTAAAATCAACAAACACAAAACCATTCATCGGACCTGAAAAATCCTCACATTTTTTTAGAATACTTTTCCAATTCAAAGTTATGGTCTGTTTGTGATCCGTAGCACTAAAACCCTTATTCACAGCCGCGATGTTGGGTTTTATAATGATATAAGTTTGACATTCCTTTAAAAGTTCACTAAATCTGGAAAAGTTTTGAATGAAAACGCGAGAATGGTATTTTATACCCTATTAAATTAAATAAATAACAATTATTTTATTGCTTGAAACATATGTAATATTTAGTAGGATATTAAAAAATACTACAACAAACCTCTTCATCCATTACGATCATTTCAATTGATAAAACCACATTATTCTTTATAAAGTTCCATATCTTTAGCACCCGCACTTTGATATGTGAATCGTCATCAATAGGTTCAATGTTTTTGAGGTATAATGTAACATCCATAAAATTCGAGTCAATTTAAAACTTTTTAAATCATATAAAACCATTCAGTTATTACAATTTGTTTTCAAAATAGTTTAAACATTAGAGTTCCCAAAATCATAATCATAAATCGAGGAAGTGTACGGTCACGCCTTCGCCTTCCTGTGACCATCCGCTGAACCTGAAACAATAAACTGAAACTGTAAGCCCGAAAGCTTAGTGAGTTACCCCAAAATACCCATACCCACAACAATTCACATCTAATCATAAACAGCATACTATGGGTCCAGTCAACCATTGGGTTGGAATACCCCAGACCCTCAACCATCCGGTTGGAATGCCAACATACTATGAGTCCAATCATCCTCGGGTTGGAATACTCACAACCCACAACCAATAGGTTGGAATGCCCAAGTTTATTGGCTTTCGCACAAAGCAGATAAGCCTCAACCGCCAAACAAACATGTGCACATATAACAGATAATCACATAGAAGTCTATAGACAACAACTGATCTAACGGATCATACCACATAGCACATAATACCATCCTATCTACCAGGATACTGATCTAACAAATCATACCACATACCACATAATATTATCCTACCTACTAGGATACCGATCTAACAGATCATACTAGCATAACATATCCAGACAACAATCCAAATGGTCGGCCTTGGTGCCTTAGACCCTTGAGTATAGTGAGGGTAACTCACCTCGCAATGCTGGTCTGAACTGAAATACCAACTCCCGAAGTGCTGTCACGCCGAAAATCCCGAACTATCCAAAATCACAAATGTTGGGTCAACATATGGGCTATCAATCCCGACTAAGGGTCCATATAGTCCATTTTGTCTTTTCTCTAATTTGGGCCAAGGCCCAAAACCAAATTCATGATCCAAAAGTCCACATATACAAAACCCATTATTGGCCCAATTTACCAAATTAGGCCCAACTCCCTAATTGGGCCCAACTCCCTAATTGGGCTTAAATCCAAAATCCATCATAAAAACTTGGTCCAAATCCAATTATTCAGAGAGTCCAGTAAAGCCTAAACCCAACTAGTCCAAACACAGCCCAAAACCCGAAGCCTAAATGACAAAAACCCAACAGAGGGAGTACACGGGGCGTACTCCTCTGGTACGTTGGGCGTACCCTCCTGATGTTGACCACCACCGGGGTGGTTGACCCAGTACGCTGGGCGTACTAGATTTACGCGGGGCGTACACGCGACTAAACCAAAACTCTCCTAAGTGCTTAATGGCTTAAGCACTTAAGCCCATATTTCAGATCCATCGACCAGAAGTGTCTGGGAACCATAAAGTCTCGAACTTTATCACTTGGGACGTCCAGAAAGCTCTTAATCAATTAAGACTTTTTTACTACATACATGGGACATCTTAAGTCATCGGGACCTCATTTTTACTACTTAAGACCTCTACAAGGGTCTGAAAGGACAACTCATCTTGTCCAAAATGCAACATGCACCAAATTGGGGTTTTGGGACAAGAAATGGTTCCATAAAGCTAGAATAGCTAGATCTATAAGAAATAGTCACAAAGGTAACAACTTTATACCTTCTGGAGCCCCCAAAGCAGATGAGGAACCAAGATCTACAAGCCAATCTTCCCTCCTTGACTCCTTGATGCACAAGCTTCTCCTCAAAGGCACAAGAACACACTTATAAGCTCAAGAATGATCACTAGGAAGCTAGGGTTTTCTCAAGATTGCTAAGGGAGGAGTGGAGGCTAAAAGAGATGAGAGGGAAAGGTCCTTAAGGTGCTTAAATACTCCACAAACCCTAAAAGTTAGGGTTCCATACTGGCATATGTACGCCCAGCGTACACATGCGTACGCCCAGCGTACCACCTGTACGCCCGACATACCACTTAGACTTCCAATCTTACCATTTTGCCACTAAGGCCTCCTTTTGCCACCCCCTTCTAAACCAAGGGCCAAAATGCCCTAATTAAAATCTGGGGGATGAATTTGAAGCTACAGGAAAATGGGATGTTACATATAACTTATTACCTATATTCATTTCCAACAAACAATTGAAAGTTAAATATATATTCCATTGATATTATTTGGTAATTGTTGTAAATTATATTGGAGAACAAAGAAGGTAGTTCAAATGACATGCAAAATATCTCAAAAAAAACGATTAGAACATATAAAAATGTCAGCTATAATTTAGAAAGTTCAGTGCTATCATTAAATGAAAGTTCAGTGCTATCAATGCTATCATTAAATGAAATCAAGATTTGATGTTATTACTAAATGAAAGTCAAACCTGATGCTAAAAGCAAAAAGTAGTAACTGGCCCTTTAAAATGCATAAAATAGCAATTAAGCAAATGAAATCCAAACATGATGCTTGGAATGTGCATTGAAACAATGTCGCTTTATGGTTAAAAAGACAGATAAATTCACCGGAGAAGGCGCATGCTTTTGGAATTTCCCAGAGTACCCTTATTACTATTTGATATGGCTACACAAGTTTATAAGGAAAACTTATAACCGTAAATGCAAGTTGCATGCTTTGGATTCTTCTATAAAGAATTCGATATGGCTACACAAGTTTTCGTAATTCAGTCTGTATTGGAAACACACACTTAGTAAGATTATAGAAATGTATTTTAGAAAAATGGAATGGAATGAACTAATCTATTCCCTTTTAATGAGTTCATTCTTAGAGGGTTTTTTTTCTTTTCATAATAATTGATTAATTTTAAGAAACAATTAACCCTATATTTAAAAAAAATACCCTTTGTACATTAATTTCAAGTTTAAGTATTTTTGACAAAACAAACCCTTTGTTTCTTTTACATACAAAGAGCAACATACTTAGAAAGTTACCCTTTGTATCATGTTGTCATTTTAATAACTGATTAAAGGAATGGTCCATTAAAAAAATACAACATATTTGAACACACTAACATCAAGACAAACACAACAGAACACACACAGACAATAGCAACATACTTGTTATTTTTTGCATTGTGTTCGTCTTTGAGGTAAATGTAAAAAATAGCAATTTACTTTTAGAATTTTAATATTATAAAAGCATACTCACAGAACAACTTAAAAACTTTGCATCATACTTTGAAATTATGTTGTCTAAATTTCTATTTCAGTAAAAAAATACAATGTTATAAAATATAAATATCACAAAACAAAGTACATTGTTATTATATAAACATTACAAAAACTGCAATGCTATTTTTTCATTTATTTTTTTGTAGATAGATTTTCGTATGATGAAATCCGGGAAGGAATGAAATTGTTCATTCTATAGAAATGAAAAACAACTTGTTTCTTTAGAAAAATGGAATGGAATGAACTAATCGGTTCCCT